GTTCATGGAAATTCTTTAACTCTTTCCAGTTCATCACATTTCTTCTCTGAAGTACAATAACGATGGTATGATGCTAGCATAACTTACTACTAAAGTTTCCATGACAGCACACTGTTTTCAATTGACTGTAACTTTTTTAAATTAATGGGTTGGGTTGAAACTTTGTGTACTGGTAGCTCTTTCAGCTTGATTATTTTTTAGCCTAAACTAAAAAATTTTAGCCTAAATTAGAATGAGGCTTTTCCTTTCCAAGAAACCTAACTTCAAAACTCAGTAAGAATTCAGCTCCTCTCACTGCACCATATATATGTTATCATCAGGTCAACTTACAATCAACTAAAGATGAGATTAATCGTGCCTCAAATACGATACTTTGATGACCACAAAGAGAGACTAGAAGTAACTAGCACAGATGCAGACATCTAGGTCTCTTAAATCACATCTTCTGCACTGTAGTTTGGAAAGGTACCAAGGTAGGTATTTATAATACTAAGGAAACTGAAAATCTAATCATAGTTGTGTAATACAGGGTACTCAAAATAAGAGTACTTTTAGAATACCTAAACTTTGAATGCTCACCTTTGCTACTGCAACATGTTCTTTTAATATTTTATACAGTAAAAGCTCTCATATATTGTGCTAATTCAAGCGAAATATACATCTAAATATATTTAATAATGATAAGAGTGAAAAAATCTATCATAAATCAGGAAATCAGTACCATCACTGAAAATATAAGAGGGATGGAAAGGTAGGTAATCAAAATATAAAAGCAATCACCAATAATGTTCTGTTTAAAGAGAGGTGAGAAGATTATTCAGAACCATGAGTCTTTGTAGAAGCTGTCTGGTTTAAGTAAGGTCAACCATTCATAACAGTATTTATACAAAAAATTCAATAGAATAATTTATTTGTGAACAGTGAATCTAATAACTACGAAAAGCATTCAGAAACTGCTACTGAATATTTTCTCCATTCTTACTGGAAAATTCATACACTGTTTTTTTTTTTTTTTGGGGGGGGGGGGGTTGGAGGGAAGAGCAGCACAGCTCATCGTGAGCTCTGGGGCCGGAGGAAGAGAGCGGGAGGGAGCGCAGATATTTGCACAATAAATCTATGAACATTTACCCTTTTGGGGGTAACTCTTTCCGTACCTTCCTCAGTACAGGGCTAAACCAGACAGAGACTGGTTGCGTTTTTGGGGACACACACACACACAAAACACAAGACCACCACCACAAAAAAAACCAACAAACAACAAACAACCCGACAGCAAAAAATAAAAAAAAAAAGAAAACAAACCAAATAAAATTATTTTCAGGTCTGCTAACAGCCTTGATAGACGACAGAGAGCTAGGGCGAGGCAAAACCCGAACGTGGAGGTGAAAGTTATCGCTGAGGCTTTTCCCTCTGGTTTTCTTACTCATCACGTCTGTGCCGTGGGTTGAGAAATGTGATTTTTTGTGTGTGTGTGTGTGTGTTATGAAAACACCTCCCCAGCGGCAGGCAGTGACCGCGCGCAGCTGGGTGTCGTTTGTGCCGCCTTCTGGGGATAAAGGAAAAGGCAAACGGGTTCGCTCGCGTGGTTGGCAGGTCTGAAAAGGGACGCCAGGAAAGAAAAATATTGGATTAAAAAAAAAAATAAAATCCTGATACGAATATTAATGATGGTGAGTTGGGTTCAGAGAAGTGCCGGCTCCCAGATTTGCTGCTAATCTGCTCTGAGCCCAAGTGCGTCTCGACGGGGACTCCCAGTGGTTTTGGGGGAAGGTAAAACAAACAAACAAACAAACAAAAAACCACAAAAAACAACAACAACAAAAAAAACCAGAAGGAAAATCAGCAAGAGGCTCCTTAAACACTTAACTGGAAGTGTTTCTCGCTCGTCTACAGGTGGGGCAAGCGGGACGAAATTACGCACGTTATTTCTTGTTGGTGAATTAAATTTTTCCGTGTGGTTAATCGTGGATCGGGAAAGGGTAATAATGAAACCTCCCTCGAGAAAAAGCTCTTTTTTCGGGTTGTTTTTTTTTTTTTTTCCCTTCCACGGATGCGCGTGCCGGGCCGCGGGGGCAGGTGAGGGTGACGGACGCCGCGCTCGGAGCAGGGAGGGGGCGAGAAGCGGGATATAAACCAGCTGGTTTCAGCAGCGAGTATCTGTCGATATCTGTCGATGGACATTTCCGTGCTGGAGGGAGCCGGGGTCTCCTTCCGCAGGGCCCGCAGAGGATCGGAGGCTGACGCGGCTTTTTTTTTTTTTTTTGCCAAAGCTGCCGTGGGCATCATCCTTCACGCGGCGCCCGTGGCGAGCGGAGCGCGAGAAGCCTCCGTGCCGCGGCGCCAGTTTAAACCTGTTGGAAATCTCTTCTTACAGAGTGAAGGCAACCCCAGCTCTCCCCGACGTTCTGCTGTGGGAAAACAGGAAAAAAAAAATAAAACAACACCAACCAACCCCTTTTTTTTGCACAAATCTTCATTGTGGTCCCCGCTTGTAGGTCCCTTCTGACTGGAATTACTTTATTCTGTCGGTTTTTCATCGCCTGGGGATTAAACTCCTTCTTCAACCAATTTTTACCATGAACTGCAGGTGGGAAACGAGGAAATTGAGCCAATAAACAACAGTTCGGAGAATTTTTTTTTTTTCCCCCCTCACACGCGACAAGAGTCACGGTTCGTTGGGCTCCGGAATCCATTAATTTTAACGCCGCGGTTTCGTGTTCGTAATGTTTAATTATTTTTTAACAGAATAAGTGGGGTGGGGTTTATACCGTGTTTATTTTTTTTTAACAGCCCAGATGGCCGTTAATCCATTAAAATTGCATTTGTGTTCGCTAATGACAAACCGAGGGGATTGCAATATTGCCCGGCAGCCTGGTTGGGGATAATTGTGCGTTTGTTAATCACCTGAACCGAGCAGGAGTGGAAAGATGGAGCCGTTAGAAGTGAGAAGGGTTCGGAGCACGGGGAGGGGGGAGTGGCGGCAGAAATGGGTTTCTTGAAAAAAAAAAAAAAAAAACCCACAACAAATATTTGAAAGATAAAGCTTGTAGCGGAATGTATCTGCGTGGAACCGACACTCCCCGAGGTAAGAAGTGACGTTCCTCCCACCCCCTCGCGCTCTCCCCACACCGAGGGTTCCCTCGATTGCTTCGTCTCTTTTTTTTTTCATTTATTTTTCACAAAATATCGGTCAGGATTGCCCGCGACTAAAGATCAGCCTCCAGGAGGTGATGAACGCGCGGCCTTGGCGACGAGGTTTGGGCTCCGACGCTCTCCGGGCTGAAGCAATAATCCTCTGTAGGGCGATGGGTTGGTTTTAATCACTTTATCACTTTTTTTTTTCTTTTCTTTTTTTCTTTCTTTTTTTTTTTGTTTTCCTCCCCTCTCTGTGGAGTTTTCGGTCGGATCTCACCAAACTCATTTCCAGGCTCCGATGTTGTAATTCCGTATCTCGGAGACGCCGGCGCCCTGTAAAGGAGCTTTAGCCCGTGGAAATTGTTAAATAAAACAAACCAATGGGAAAAAAAAAAATTAAAAAAAAATATAAAAAACCCCAAATGTCCTGCAAGAATCTGGTGACTTCCAGCAACGGTGGCAGCTGACTCAGCAGATGGTGCTGGGGTATTTTTACGCCGCCACGTGAAGGAGCCGTCAGGCGGAACCGACTGTACCGCGGTGACGCCCCCGGCGCGTTGGGCTGCAGACACACCAGCGCCCTCCTTGTTGGAGCAGGATGCGCCCGCCGGGGTTTGGAGCCGGGGGCGAAACACGTAATTTGTGAGTTTGAGCCCCTCGCGGCTCCCTGAGTCCCCCCGCTCGGCAGTTTTCCGGCCAGCTAGAGGTGAAGGGGAAATTAAAACAATCTCCCCCTTCGGTGCGGCCGGGGAAATGTGGGAAATAACGGGAAAATACCCTGGCAGGCGCGAGGTGTCAGAGGGAATTTCGTTGGCCAAACGCATGTGCAGTTCTGCAATTTATTTCTCTGAAGATGCTACCTGTGCTGCGCGGGGAAAAAGAAATAAAATTAAAGATAAAAATCTGCGTCTCTGATTGAACAGAGCCTTGCTGTTCGGAAATGCCTTAGGAGGTGTTTCTCCTCCTTATTTGCTGTGAAAGTTTCAGATCCCTGTCATGTCCTGGGGGGAAAAAAAACCCCTCTTTGTCCTTAAAATACGGGTTTCTGCAAAGGGCTCGGTGCTCCCAGTTGGAGGGACTGGTGCTCCCAGTCGGAGGGGCTGGCGCTCCCAGTCGGAGGAACTGGTGCTCCCAGTCGGAGGAACTGGTGCTCCCAGTCAGAGGGGCTGGTGTGCCCAGTCAGAGGAACTGGTGCTCCCAGTCGGAGGGGCTGGTGCTCCCAGTCAGAGGAACTGGTGCTCCCAGTCGGAGGGGCTGGAACTCCCAGTCGGTCTCGGCGTCGCCGGCGGGGGCAGAGCAGGGCCGGGAGCGCTCATCTCCCAGAACATCCCAGTTTGTGGTGGCTTTGTGACGGTTGGAAGGCACTTCCAGTTGGCACAGGTGGACTCGCAATGAAAACTTCGGTGTCAACCCGACACCCAAGTAAAACACATTTACACGGATTTTTTATTTCTATTTTTTCCCCCCCCAGGTCTGTTATTTTCCTTACGATGGAAAGGCTGGTTGTCTCTCTCCTGGTTATTAGCACCGCCGTGAAGGCCATGATGTGTCCCAAGAGGTGCATGTGCCAGAACCTGTCCCCATCCTTCACGATTCTCTGCACGAAGACGGGGCTCCTCTTCGTGCCCCCCAGCATCGACAGGAGAACGGCAGAACTGAGGCTGATGGACAACTTTATCACGACGCTTAGGAGGAAGGATTTTGCCAACATGACCAACCTGATTCACTTGACGCTGTCGAGGAATACAATCAGTCAAATCATGCCTTACGCTTTTTTTGATCTTAAAGGCCTCCACGCCTTGCACCTGGACAGCAACAGGCTGACTTACATCAACGAGGATCACTTCAAGGGTCTGATTAACCTCCGGCATTTAATCCTCAGTAACAACCAGTTGAACTACATCTCTCCCGGGTCGTTGGATGATTTTATTGAAACAATCGAAGACCTGGATCTGTCCTACAACAACCTCGTTAACGTCCCTTGGGAAACGATTGCCAAACTTTCTAATGTCAATACGGTCAGCCTGGACCATAATCTCATTGAGTTTGTGCCAGAAGGCATCTTCTCAAACCTCCACAAACTTGCCCGCCTGGACATGACCTCCAACAAGCTGAAAAAGATCCCTCCCGACCCTCTGTTTTCCAGAATCCCGGTGTACGCCAAGTCCAAGGGGTCTCCGCTGTCCTCCCTGGTGCTCAGCTTCGGGGGGAACCCTCTGCACTGCAACTGCGAGCTCGTGTGGCTCAGGCGTCTCACCAGGGAGGACGACCTGGAGACCTGCGCCTCCCCGCCCGAGCTGATGGGAAAATACTTCTGGTCCATCAAAGAGGAGGAATTTGTCTGCGAGCCGCCGATGATAACGCACCGCACCCCGAAGCTGGCGGTGACAGAAGGCCAGAGCGTCTCTCTGAAGTGCAAAGCTGTGGGCGACCCCGATCCCTACGTCCGCTGGATCTCGCCCGACGGGAAGTTGGTCTCCAACACCTCCAGGACGGTTTCGTACGAGAACGGGACGCTGGATATTTCAGTCGCTTCCCTGGGCGACAAGGGCACGTTCACCTGCATCGCGTCGAACGCCGCGGGAGAGTCGACGGCGCCGGTCGAGCTCCTGGTGAGCCCGTACCCCAGCCTGGCCAACAGCACCAACTGCGACAAGGATGCGGAGCCCGGCCCCTCGGACATTCTCATCTCGGCCAAGTCGAGCTTCCCCAACGAGACCAAGGCTCAGCAGGAGAAGGCGGTGGTGGTGGCTGAGCTGACGTCGTCCTCCGCCCTCATCCAGTGGCCTTCCCAGCACCACCTGCCCGGGATGCGCATGTACCAGATCCAGTACAACAGCTCCGCCGACGACATCCTGGTGTACAGGTAACGGCGCCTCCGCGCAGGGAGGGAGAGGAGGGAGAGGAGGGGGAGGAGGGGGAGGAGAGAGAGGAGAGAGGGAGGAGGAGGGGGGGAGGAGGAAGGGCAGCGCCTCTCCGCACCCGCCGCGTCGCGGGCGAGGGGGCTGAGGAGACGGGAGCTGCCTCAGAGAAGCTTCACCCGTCAAACCCCCCTCGGCGAGGAGTCGAGATGCTCCGTTAGAACCAATAACGCCCGCGGCCGCGCCGCCTCTTGAGGGTCCCTAAACTCTTTACCGACGTAATTAAGCTTCACGGTCCGGTTTAATGGGCCAAGCGGAGCTGATGAGCAATATCTTAGTTGTTAACATTTAAGGAAATTGAGATGGAGATTTTAGTTACCTTTTATGGTGATTCAAGCGTCGTCGTTTTACTTTAAAATATGGGGAAGAGAGGGGGGAAAAAAAAAAATCGAGACGCCCGATGTCGCGTTCTGCTCGCGGGTGTGGCCGTCCCGTGTCGGGGCAGAGCCACGTGGGGACAGAACTCCCTGCGGGGAGCCGGGCGCTGCACGGGAGGTTTTACCTTCTGTGTTTTGGGTGGATTCCGCGTTTTTCCGATGGAGTTTAGTTGGTAAAACTTGGGAGTGGCTCTGACGCTGTCAGTGGAGGGCGCAGAGATGGGTTACGGCCGCGGCCCTGCGCAGGGGCTGGGCGAGTTTCTGACTTTTTCTGTCTCTAAGCTTTAGTTTGCGATTGATTGGAGGGTGGGGTGTAAAACACTTAAAGCGGGACCCAGCGTTTGAGCCGGATTTAACGTCTCCCCCGAGTGACAACGGGGTTTTTTTTCTAATCTTGTGCCGCTCCCGTGGCGGAATCTCTAAATTTCTGGTGTCCCACCGCAGCCCGGAGTGGAGCCAGCGCTGGGTGGATGATGGGGAAGAGCTTCGGGAATAATCCGGAGAGTTGGGGTTCAAGCACAGCGCTTTGGGAAGCAGCCCCCCGAGGAGAGGCGTGGCGGGGAGCTGGTCCCGGGGGGGTCTTGTCTCCCGTGGTTACAGGGTGGCTGCGGGGAGGATGGAGACGCCCTGGCTACAAGGAGTCACATGGAAAAGACAAAGGGTGACGGGTGCAAGTTACCCCCAGGGAGGAGAATTCTTCCCAGTGAGAACAATCAGCCACTGGAATAATCCTGCCAGGGAGGTGGGGGGTTCCCCAGCGTTGGACACTTTGAAGGTTCAGCTGGACAACGGGGGGTTGGGCCGGCTTGTCTAGACCGGGCTTTTGCCAAGAGGGGTTGGACCGGCTGACCCCTGAGGTCCCTTCCAAGCTGGGATCCTGAGGTTGTGTGAAAAACCCACCGCCACAAAAAGATCCTGGTTAAAAAGAAAAAAATAAAAAAATAAATTTAAAAAAAAACAAAAAACACCAAACCCGAAACCGTGTGTGAAAATTGCGTGGAGTCCCTGAAACAGAAATGTCACTCGGGGTTTTCAGAAGTCTCCTGTGGAAGTGACCATCCCCGGAGTCTCTTGGAGGAAGGATGCCATCCATCCTCCCGTTGCCGCGGCGACGAGCTGGGAAGGAAGCAGGAGGACGAGGTGAGGGTCTCCCGGAGGGGGTGGGAGGACGCGGTGTTGGGAGCTGCCAGGGACGGCGGCGAGGAGCTGGCTGGAAGACGAAGCCTGGTTTAACTGTCAGAATTGTGAGAACATTTGTGACATCGCTGGTTGGAGGAGCTGCGGAGCCGCGAAATCCGGGGGGGGGGGCGTTTGACCGAGTTCTCCCACCAGAAAGCGAAGTGGGAAGCAGCCAGCGCCGGCAGGTGCATCCCAGTGATACCAGTGGGTTGTTTACTGGGATTTGTGGCAGGCGGGCAGCTGCCGCACTCCTGCAGCAATTCTTTCTCGTCGCGTTTTAAATCTTCCCAGAGTCTCGAATAACGAGCGACCCGCGCGGCGGCTGGTCCGTAGATCTGTGGAGTTAAACACGGCTGCGGCTGGGTGGCCTCGGCCTTGTTCCTGCGGCAGAAGCCGGGGGGGACGGGGCGTTTCCCTGCCCCTTCCTCGGTGCCGAGCCCCTTCGCCGGGGGCTCGGGTTGGGAATAAAACCCATCGAACGCTTCAAATGACAGAGCAGCTCTTCCAAGCGATGCAGCGTCGCAGCCCGCTGGGTAACGGGCGCCGCAGGGGTGAAAATCCGGGGGTTCCCGCCCAGTTCCCACCGCGAGCGACCGTCGGATTTAGACCCTTAAAGGAAGTTTTGCCCTAAAGCGCCAGGGCTGGGAACGGGGCAGCGACTCCGCCTCGGCCCAAGCCGCCGCCTCGAGTCGCACCCGGGGAAACCGGGGAGCCCCGGGGCGTTTGCTGGCCCTTGGCGTGGCCGAGACCCCCCCCAGAGCCCGCGGGTCTGGCGAGGGGCACGAACACCTCAGGCCAGGGCCGGGCGGGGCCGGACGCGCGGCAGCATCACCACCCCGCAGGAGCTCTGCGGGAGGCGAAGGAGCTGCCCCCCGCCCGGAGCTGCTGGTTTGGTGCTGCCTGGGAAGGGGATGGAGCGGGTGCAGGACCCTGTCGCTCCGGTGTCGGTTGCCACGGCAACTTCGCTTCACCTCCAGAATTTAAGCCACTCCCTTGACTCCGTTGTCTTCGCCTCTCCATGGCCTCCTCCACCTGGGGGAGGTAATCGTGAGGAAGCGCGCTGTCGCCTCAGCCCGTAAGCAAGGGCGGAGCGATGATATTCCCCCGAATCTCCCCTCCGGCCCGCGATCGGACTCTCCGTCACGCTCGCCCCGCGACGTTCCCGTGCTTGGGAAGATTCCCAACACGCGGCGTTTTTCCCAGGGGTGAACGCGGGGAGGAAAACAGGGCGTCGTGCTCCCGGCCCTGCCGGCTCCTTGTGGTCCGGAGATTCTGAAGAGTCTTCCAACTCTCAGGAAGTTGGATCTCAGGTTGTAGCTGAACTTTGTTGGAACGGAACGGTTGTGTCGCCCAGGTCTGCTGGTCTTGAGGGGGAGATTCCAGCAGGAGCGACCCTTGGGTACCCAAACCACCAGCGACAAATAGTAACGATGCTTTAGGAAGCAGGAATTAATCTGGGGGGGGGAAGCCACCCGCCGTTGGTTTTATCGCTGCTCACGTGTGTTTTGCCTCATCCGTCGTCTGGTCCAGCTCACACAGATCTCAACGAAGATGAATCCTGGCACCGGGCTGTGGGATCCCCCCCCCCCCC